ATGTGTGTGTACACTTACATAATAATGTATAATAATATCCAGATACTGCATGACAATGGTGCCTGTTCATTCCAAAGGGTGTTGTTACCTGCAGCATACGCAAAAATAGTCTCTGGCTTTTGGGTTTACGTTTCTAGTATGCGTCCCATTGAATATGTGCAGAAGGGTTTCTCCCACTGGCCTCACCCTCGAGTTACCACTCAGCTTATAGACTTTGCATTGTAATGTCAAAGAGCTCCAGGAAAGTTTTACAAATTTAAAACCACCATGGATCAAAAATTCATAATAGAAGGAGTCATAACTGACCTTGTTTGCACTTTGATGTGTACTGTCAACAGATTTACAGACATCTCTTTTACAATGGTGGCCTGTGGGGCAAATGCTTTTTGGGCCACAGTAGATTTGTTCACTGCAATACCGTGAGTGGCTACTGGGATAAATTGGCCACAAGGCTGAGGAGCATTTTTGGGGGCCTGGCTGAGCCTCTCTGTGCATCTAGTTTGCATGGCAGTTGATGATGATGATCACTGCTGTTTACTGCATGTAATGCACATTTCTTCTACTGCTGGGGAGGGAAAGGAAACTCTGCAAACCAGGTTGCCTTACAAACCCTGGCCCCCACACCACTGTTTTTCCTCTCTCTTTCGCACACGCTCTGTCTCTCTCCAGATTCTCCAGTATATTGCTGCTGCGTTGCTTTGCCACTTTTTCAGTCACAGTCCCCCTCTCATTTTCCCCCTCTTTCCCCTCTTGATTCAGTCCAAAAAAAGAGAAAGAAAAAAACAAACAAACAATAAAAACACCTGTAAACCTGGCGGGTGGGTCCAATTGGGCTCAGGCGGACAATCAGAGCTCTAAACCAAAGTATGTAAATAATAATTCACCATTTTATGAGTGCAGGGTTATGCATCAGTCTATTTCTCAGCATGGAGCAGTTGCAATGCAACCAGTGGAGACTCCAGGAAGTGTTGGCAATAACGTGGATTAGTGAGCTCCAGAGATGCTGGATGGAAGATTTTGTTACCTTAGACAGAGCCTGGCTAGCTGTTTGCCCCCTGCTTCTAGTCATTATACTAAGCTAAACTAACCAGGGGCGTGGTGTAGCCTTATGTGTAACAGACATGACTTACGAGAGTGGTAGTCTTCAAGCAAAAACAATCAAATAAGCATTTATCCCAAAATGTTAACCTATTCCTTTTACTTGTTTCATTAATAAGTTATTGATTGCTCAACAGTCCATCTGACCAGCTGCCCTTTCCTTTCTGTCTGTACAGGAACAAGGTGTGGTAGGAATGTCACGACCTCCAGGCGCCATCCCGCCTCCTCACCCTGCTGGGGGCGTGGCCTCAGGGGTGGGGCCCAATCAGGGGTCAGGACCACCTCCAGGCTATGTGGGCAACCAGCAGCAGGCAGCCATGATGAAACAGATGATGGCGATGGAGCAGGAGAAGAGGATGCAGATGCAACTGATGGAGCAACAGAAACAGCAGCTCTTCAGAGAGCAGAGACAGCAGCAGCAGCAGCAGCAACTACTGGCTGAGCAGGTGAGTAGGTTTAAATTATTGTGCTTAGCATAAGGTTAGTGTGATGGTGTAGTAATAAAACAAAATGGCTAGGCCTCTGGGATTTATCTGTCATGCATTAAATTTGTTTTTTGTTTGTTCATACACTCCTGTATATGTGCCTGTGTCTGCTGCTCATCCTCTCCTCTTCCTTACTGTTGTCTGGTTGCATGTATAATAATTACCCTCAACCAGCCCCCTCTTCACTACTTCCTTTTCATCTCTGCAGTGTGTGTGTGTGTGTGTGTGTGTTTGCCACATGCCGCCTGCTGTGATAATGTGGTGTTTTCTTTTTATTTCTCTCTGTGAGGGAATCAAGTGTTAAAGAGTTCTGAACTCTGAAGTCACCACCCACCAAGTTGGTTTTAATTGGATGTGCAAAAACATACACAGGCACAACTATAGGTATTTGAGAGGAAACATCCTGCTAAGGTTTAGTGTATATTGTTAAATATAATAGATATCATACCTCAAATTTAAATGAGTAACACCGTCTGCTCTCCAGACACACATTCAGTAGCTGCTTTTTGTACTACAAGAATGCAGACTGATATGTTTTTCCATTGAATGTTCTATATCTGCACCTCAGCTATGGCTACAACAGATCATCAGGGCTGCCTTTGGTTTCCTGGTCGCACTCTGTTCACTTTGTGTAGGAAAGGCACTGTCCACTAATAAAATCCTGAAAAAACTCACCAGTCTCCCTTCTGCTGTACCAACATCTGTCTGTGTCTGCTGTACCAACATCTGTCTGTGTCTGCTGTACCAACATCTGTCTCATTTCTGCTGTACCAACATCTGTCTGTCTGCTGTACCAACATCTGTCTGTATCTGCTGTACCAACATCTGTCTCATTTCTGCTGTACCAACATCTGTCTGTCTGCTGTACCAACATCTGTCTGTGTCTGCTGTACCAACATCTGTCTCATTTCTGCTGTA